TATTAAACTCATTGATGTTGCGGTATGCGGCACGACAAAAAATATCTGCGTTTCGCGACAGGTGACGTTCAAAACAGCGTTCGACAATACTTCCATAGCTTTAATTTCTCGTGGGGTCGAGGTATATAGGGCAGAGCCACGAGCCCGGAAGATTGTTTGTCGAGGCGAACAGAGAGATTTGCCTCATTGTGGCCTCATTGACTCTTCAAAAGTTATAACGAAAGCTGTTCGCTTCTCTTTTGAATGTTTCGAGTATCATCGTGTAGATTAATTGACATGAATCATTTAAGTCAGTAATTCTCACATTAATATCCACGTGACGAGTATTATGAGATGAAGACTATATATTCGACTGATCCAGCGAACAAAACGTGTACACTTGAATATTAAAGGATGAAATTTAAACCAATAGGATCAATACCTTCAGTTAAATAATTTACGTAACGTTTTGTTGGTTTTAATTACCATGTGTATCGAAATTTAATATTTTAACACACGACAGTATTATTTTAACTTCATTAGTTTTTAGTTAAATTAACAGTACTTATATTAAGTAAGAGCAGTGGCGATTCGACCTATAGACCTATAGGAATGGTTAAAAACGACTCAAATTGAGTAATTCGACACTGCCGAATATGACGTTAAACGCTCGAATTAGGTTCTTCGAGATTTTTTACGCTATCGAGATGCAGGTTGAGACGAGCGCGATCATTATTAGTTATTAATGGAGGCGATTATTTCGTCGCCGCAGGGTAAGGTATAATTAGGCTCCGGTCTAATTCTCCGCATCGACACGGGAGTCGAGTCCGTTCATTAATAGGAAGAAAGAGAGACAAGGACACGATGGTATACGGAGTTCGCGGCTGCAGACGCATATTCAGCCGTTCCTGAAATATCGCAAACATCCTCCGAGGCCGGAACTCGCGGCGAGAACCGAGAGAACGAGAAGGGACGGAATCGTGCGCGCGGAAGATTCCTGATCTTTCACGCGTATTGAGTAGCATTCTATCTGTCGATTTTATCTCCGATTATCTCACGCTGTAACGATCGAGGCGAGGCGAGACGTAATTTTATTAGGGGCTGATAATTCCACCCCGCTGCGTCGGGTGAAATTTTAAATTCACGCTCATTCGTAACTTTTGCAGTGAAATTTTTCTGCTAATAAGTTCAATTGCTATACACTGCGTTAAATATTAAAAGATGAAATTTAAACCAATACCTTGAGTTAAATAACATTTTATTATTTTTAACTATACCATATCGATTTATGAATGAATTTTAACATGAAACAGTATTATTTTAACTCCATTGATTTATTTAAATTAACGACACGTTGAATAAGCAGTGGCGACCTATAGGATGTTAAAAATGACTGAAACTGAGAATTTGACACTACAAAATCTAACGATGTATCACGCCGATCGGATTAGAACGAGGACTCGGTAACTTGGTAACTCTATCTACTGCGTGGAAGTTACCGCGAGAGATTAACGCGGTCGATGGATGCTGTCGCGAAGAAACTCGGGTCGGGATTCGCGCGTCGCAACGTTTCGTTCCGACTGTCTTGCCACACGCCATTAGGTACGCAATGGGTACCTAAGCTCCTCGACATGTCGCGGGGTTTATTACCTAACGCGGCGAGCGGCGACGAGTCCGAAGCGCGTCGTCGTAACGTTCTTACGTAACGACCGAGAGAGAGGAGAGACAGGTGTGGATGCGAAATGTTCTTCGCGCGACCGCGTTTCTCTCCGTGTCCCTTCCGGCGCGGCGCGAGGAACCTCCAGAACCGCGTGTCGCCGAGATGTCTCGCGATCAAGTTTCGCGATCTCGGCTCGCGACTGCGGATGCTCGACGTGCCGGCGAGGAGAGCCGATCGAACGAATCGCGTGAGCGAGCGTTTTCCATATTATTATGTAACAGAGTGCAGTGTCACGTAGAAACGATAATTGAGAGCGTAACGCCGAGAGAGATGAGAGATAAGAAACCGATGGGAAAAAGGGGAGAGGTAAAGAACGCGATCGAGAGACGGTGACACGCATGCAAGCACGCACACTCACGCACAGATGCGAATACGTCGAGAAAAAAAGAAAAGAATTCAAGGCTGCGTGACGTACCTCATGCATTTATGCGTCAACAGAAACGTTACACGTCTCTATAATCTCATCATAAATTTTTTAAACTCGATCTTGGACTGGAGATCTCGGTCTCTTTTTCATCTTACGGAGCGGTAAAGGATTTGTTTATCCACGTGATTATACATTAGTTAGACGCGGTCTGACTTTCAGGTCTAACTGGCGTTTCTGAGACACCTCTGGCTCTTTTTTTTCGAGAGAGATCATCTGCCTCGGAATGGCGAGTATCGCACAGGTCACCAAGATCTTAACCTGTGCACCTCTAGTCGAGCGAAGATACGCGATGACGAAATCCCGATCTTTTTATACCTCCTCTGCAGTTTTTTCTCGTTATTTCTTAGTAATTTAAATTAGAGAAGGCGTGGGCGACCTCAGCAGTCGGAAGTCATATATATTTTTGCGTCTCGGGGGGACACGCGCTCGCGATAATTGCGGGTACCGACTGCCACCGGCGAGGCTTTGCAAATCGCTCGCGCTTAATTACGAAGGCATCGGTAGTCTCTTTTCCAGAGGGGGAGGGGGCTTTGCGTTACTCTGTTGTTCCGGCTCTTTAATCGCGCGCGACGCGGGATTACACGAGCGTGACGGAACGAGCGAAATTGCGCGCGCGCGCGCGCGAGAATTTTGCAATTAAATACCGTTTAATTCCACGTCGACGGCGGCGGAGGAGCGCGCCGCGATTACCCGTTCCGCGAACGCGGTCTTCGCTCCCGCGGACAAGCCTGTGCCAATAACTATCATTTACATCGCCTCAAGGATCCCCCCCCCCCCCCCCGTAACGTCTCACTCGTAATTCTTTTCACTCGTACATAATATAATACGTGCGTTATCGTTTATCGATGCCTATATTCGACCAGTCGTCTCTCGGAGTTATCCTCGAGCTATCCTTGAGTTATCCTCGACTTATTCGCGCGAATGTCGGACTTCACTTCCCAATCGAAATGAGAGCAAGCGTGGCGTAGCAGACAGCGCACTGGTCTGCTAAACCAAAGATCTCAGGTTTGAATCCAGTCCTGGGTTATAGATCTAAAATAAATAAAAACTGTATCGCTTGTCTCTCCTTCTCGACGGAATGGCAGCCCGTCAGGAGTATCCCTTGCCTCGAAACCTGTAGGTCCTATGTGCTTGTGTATACAACCTGCGTGCGCGCCACAAGCACATGACTTTGGGGGAGGCCTATGTCCGACGATAAGAAAAAAAAAGGGCATCTGACAAATAATTATTCGTTTTATTCATGTTTATATGATTCAAATTTAATGGCGCAACAGTCCGACTCAAAAATAAAACGAATGGTTGTTTGTCATATTTCCTTTTTTTTTCTTATCGTTTGTTGATCTGGTTCAGTGTACAAATCAGATGGTGCGTCTTGATGTTGCGCAGCGGGTTCATCCATATCCATAACCTGAGCCGTTGAGCTTGAAGTTTCCTGTCTACATTAAAATGTAGCGTGATAAAGAAAATGAGACGAAAATCTTATTTAAAAATATTACAGTTATACACTTTTTTTTTTATCGACACTCTCCTGGGATTGGGATATTCGACGTCGCTTCGTAGCGTTATCTACGATTATCAACGTCGAGATGAGAATTCGTTGAGAGTTCACGTATAGCATTTTATTTTTCTCGTGAATGTATAAGTAAGACGGTTTCCTCTCGGGTTCTCCTTAATTAATTAATCCGACGAATCTCTCCCGCACGTGTCTTGTCGGACGCGCACAGAAAAAAAAGAAGTGTCAAATCAAAATTTATATACTCGTACCATTTATAATCTTTTTATAAGAATTTCAACTTTTTATTTCAACCTTTTTTTTTTCTTGGTTGAACTATGTAAAGGACTTCGTTCAAGCAAGTTGTCTTCGTTTGACGCAATATAATCTCATTTCAAGATTATATAGTAGATTATTGCGTACCTATATATACGGGTATGTAAGTCTCGATTTGACACTTCTTTTTCTTCTGTGCGCGTTTTTCTCCTGTTCGAATGCGCGAAATGTCTACTTCCTCGTCCGTTTGAATTATAGAATTGGTTATCGCGCAATTCTGAGGTATTGATGTATTCGTACGTGACGAATACATCAATGTGACGCAACTGTAACGGAATCGGCTCGAAGTCCGCCGGAAATATCGACAAGCTAAACGGGGACTGTTACAATCAGCCGCGTTTTTCCCTCGATTCCCCTTCGTCTCTTGTTTTGCGCACCTGATCCGCACGGCGGAAGAACGAAACGTGTGATCTTGCGCCACTCCAGCGAAATTTCTTCACCGGAAGACTTTACGCAGCGAATTCCAGCCGGATTCTTTTTCCTCGCGGTCACGCCGCTTCCGGCGTGCTGCATGACGCGACGTAGAGCCGGTATAGAGCCAGCCGTAGCCGGATTTGACCAGAGAGGCGGAATCTCACGAATGCGTAATTTTGCGTGGAGAGATTTTTTTAACTCTTTCATTAACTCCTAAAATTCCGATAAATCAATTCGCACGCGCGTATATGCGCGTGTTATATGCATATTAAAAGAAATTAATAAATATCAAACTAATAAATTAATAAATACGAATTTATATAAATCGGAATGTCAATTTAGAATTTTACAGATTTATTATTAAAATAAAAATATATACATCAATTTAACAAATGTATTATATCAATATGATAGAAATTTCATAAATCGACATGTGAATTTCGAATTTATTAAATTCCACTGGTGGATTTTCTCTCGTCATTGGGTGGGGAAGTAAAATCCATATTAATCTCGGATGAGCCGATATAGATAAACGTTCGAAAAAGGTTTTGCGACTCGGCCTCTGGATTCCATCTCGTTCTGCAATTCGCAGTTCTGGAAGTAACGTGAATTTTTTGTTTACTCTTCCACAGGCCTAGCCCGGGCGGTGTCGGCGACAACGGCGTTCAGGGTGTTCGCGGCAAGGGCGGTCTGCCGCACGTGATTTACTGCCGACTCTGGCGCTGGCCGGACCTGCAGTCGCACCACGAGCTGAGGGCGATCGAGCACTGCGAGTACGCCTTCACCCAGAAGTGCGACGAGGTCTGCGTGAACCCTTATCATTATCAACGAATACAAACGCCAGGTACGCGGGGGTGGGAAGGGGCAGAAGGAACATAAAAGCCTTATTATCCTATAGAGCATTCTAAAATTAGACAAGGATATAATTGTTGTATGAATTAAATGTTTAGCGGTTTTTTAAATCCATTTTTTTTTAAGAGACCGCAACTACCATTGGAAATAACTGCCTCAAAATTAAACCTCTATTGTCTTCAAACTTTATAGAGTAGTTTACTTATACAAAAGTTGAAGAAAAGATAAAATTTATACCAAATCCCTCCCTGTGAGGGTGAAAGGGCGATCAACGGCATCCGTTTTGCTCGAATTACGTTCTCTCTTTTTCTTTCTCTCCCTTTCTTCTCCTCCTCTCTCTTTCTCTTTTTCTCTTCTCTCTCTCTCTATTTCCGTTCCTCTTTCTCGGGAGAGGGCTGTTAATCGGCCGTTACGACCGTAAGCATAGCGAGACTAGATCGCGTGACTATATCGCGGCGCACGAAACTTTGCAGTTTTGCCGGCCATTCTCGTGCCGCGGCACAACCTAGCCAGCGACGAGAACACCGTTCTCTATAACACCTCCCTCGAGGAGCTCAGCGTCAGCGTGCCGGAGAACACGAGCTTCCACGCGACATTGAATCACCAGCACAATCAGCAGCAGGGGATACCGCAGTCCTCGCAACAGCAACAGCAGCAACAGCAGCAGCAGCAGCAGCAGCAACCAAATAATCCGTACCAAGGAATGCAGGTCGGTAACTGGAACGGATCGCGTTAACAAGTTGGCTTGCCCGATTTATTGCCCCATGAAGAAACTCATTTTTATATATCACACTTATTTTTTTAATTACTCGTCTACGCTATAAATACGTTATAAATAATAATATATTATAAATATGGATAATTAATATATTATTTAGCTCCATGCGCGAACCATATATTCCATAACATCGATTTTTATATAGACTATGTAGATAAATAGTTTACAATATCCCACGCTGTATAATAAGAAAACGGACCGTCAGATTCGGAAACGTGACACCATGGCTTTATTTATGTTCAGAGCATGCAGGCAACGAGTCCGGCGAGCGTCGGGAGTCTGGGAAGCGTGCAGGGCTCGCCTCATCCCGCCCCAGGATCCATGGATCCGCCAGCAGATACGCCGCCGCCGGGCTACATTAGCGAAGACGGCGACAATATGGACCACAACGATAACATGTCCCTGTCACGCTTGTCGCCTAGCCCTGTAGACGCGCAGCCGGTTATGTATTGCGAGCCCGCGTTTTGGTGAGAGCCCGACTGATTATTGGATAACGCGCGTGGTGTACCCTCTTAAATACATAAACATACGCAGGAGAACACGTTGCACGTTGTCCACAAAACAATTTCGATCGCGAAAACTTGTAATTCTCTTCCGAGCGAATCGAGACAATTATGAAGTTATAAAACGAAGATCCCCCTTTGGATAGAATTAATATTGATACGTAAAATAAATTTGATAAGAGATTGATAATTAACGTAAGAATATTAAAAAGCGGAAATGAAACCGAATTAATTTGCATAATATCCGCGATGTGAAGCTTCTGCTTTTTTTATGATTCCTCTTCGTCACGCTACACGCGCTACTCACTCGTAATACCTTCGCTTTGGTTGCCAGGTGTTCAATTAGTTATTACGAGTTAAACACGAGAGTGGGCGAAACGTTTCACGCGTCACAGCCGAGTATAACCGTGGATGGCTTCACCGATCCAAGCAATTCAGAGCGCTTCTGCCTCGGCTTGCTATCCAATGTGAATCGCAACACGGTGGTCGAGCAGACTAGACGACACATCGGCAAGGGTGTCAGGCTGTATTACATCGGTGGCGAGGTGTTCGCCGAGTGTTTGAGCGACTCTAGTATCTTCGTGCAGAGTCCGAACTGCAATCAGCGTTACGGCTGGCACCCGGCCACCGTTTGCAAAATACCGCCAGGTAAACGAAGAAATTACTGCCTTCTTTAATATGTATATATTAGTTTGAAGATAATTTCTTCTTCAAGTTTTTTTAATTACGAATTTATCCATGCTCCTTGTTTTGGATTTGTGTAAGCGTATTAACACAGGGATTGAAAATTATCAGCTGACTTGGGTTCTTACATTTTCTTTCGTTCTTTCTTAGTATTTATTAATTAATCTTATTTGAAATTAGTAATTTATTGGAAGTCTTCAAGATCTTCCATGTGCGTTTTCCGTCTTCGATGATATCCGTCTATATCTGATTTATTCAGTAATTATTGTTCCAACGAATAATTAACGTCTTTTATCTGTATAAAACAATAATTAGATATTTAAATAATATGATGACTTGTGTTTTGTTCGTTGTTCTCGGAATCGGTGTGAAATTTATTTTTGTTGGCATGCAGGATGCAATCTGAAGATCTTCAACAACCAGGAATTCGCGGCGTTGCTATCACAGTCGGTGTCGCAGGGCTTCGAAGCGGTGTACCAGTTGACGCGTATGTGCACAATCCGGATGAGCTTCGTGAAGGGCTGGGGCGCGGAATACCGCCGGCAGACGGTCACCTCGACTCCCTGCTGGATCGAGCTGCATTTAAACGGGCCGCTGCAGTGGCTCGACAGGGTACTCACACAGATGGGCTCGCCCCGTCTACCCTGTTCCTCGATGTCCTAAGTCTTTGCATCCTCCATCCGTTCGTTCGTGAGAGAAGAACACGTGAAAATATCATCGTCGTCATCGACATCATCGATCGATCGATCCATCCATTTGTTTCTTCGTCGCGTACGGTATGTGAAAGTTAAATCCGTTGTTCAGAGTTCCCTCGAACGAACGCCGCCGCCGAGTGACGCATGCAAGAAAAAGGTGACGTACGATCATTGCGCTCGAAGATGCAGTCAGCAATTGGAAGAGAATGATAGGCTCAGGCACAACGATACCAAGTTTCCTTCGCGCTGAAATCGCGGCAGTGGCTTTCTCGAATTGTCCCGCGATCGACCACAACGTGTGAAATGCGTGAAGATGCAAAATTGAAACGGCGACTCGCTCGCGTGGCAGTATATAAATATTATAGTAGATATATTAAAGCTTGATGTCCTACCACGATTCGTTGTGATCGAAAAGAGGAGACACGGTGACGCGCAAGGACGCGAACGAGACACGCGGAGCTTCGCCTCGACGCACTTGTATCGCGCGCATGTGCACCGCGTACAAGATATATCCAGGGTGATCATAATCCGAGTTTAGTCGATTCGTAATAAGAAACAAACAGAAAATGAGAGAGAGAGAGAGAGAGAGAGAGAGAGAGAGAAAGGTAGAGAAAGAGAGAAAGATAGAGAGTGATAGATATTTATATATATATTATATATATATGTATATATGTACCGCGCGTTAACAGAGCTCAGTCTTTTGCATATTTTTATTGCTTATTCAGGCAGACACAACTATTACAGTCGTACTACAGTATACGCCAAACCTTTACCAGATATAATATACATTATACATAATATGTATGTGTGTGTGTTGACTTTACTAGCTCGCTATAGTGGGAGGAGTTTACACTTGAATATTCTATATCCACATAAACACGGAAAACACAACATACACACAAAAAACACACATACACACACACGTATATACATACATGTATATATGTTATGTTTTACGATATTTGTTACGGAAGATTACGATAGCATATATCGACAGGAATACCCAAAATTGTTTGCGTTGTGTAAGACTTTACAGTTCGCAACATAATATCTATCTAAAATCAATATATATACATATATCAGGAATATCATTGATATGTATTTTCTAGTAAATTAACAATACGCGCTATACGACTCACTCGGACTATGTACATTTAACGCGATTGCTTATGAGAGTTTAGCACATTGAGTATATTCACCCTGTTGTTATGTATATTTTCTTTGATAACAAAAGAAACGTAGACGTTTTTAAAAATGCAAGATTTATGCATGGAGAAATCTTTTAATATATATACATATTTAATATATTTAATTCATATGTTGTATTTTTCTTTTTTTTTTTACTCTTTTTAGATCTCTTGGACCAAATAAATAAATTTTGCCTTGTCTAACGGTAAAGGTAACAGTACATGCATCTAAATTATTATTACGAGTACCCAGATGTGTCTTCTTATCCTCTCTATTGTTTCCGATGAATATTGATTCCGTACTTGAAATATCACGAAGACTTATCCTCGCGTTGGGATCTGCCATCTAAATATTTGCCTTAGACATTATTAGGATTGCCTGTACGGTTATCGCGAAAAAATAGAATTACCAATTCGCCTTAATCCCTAAAATTCTGGTTACTCCTCGAGTTTTGAATCTTCTGACATTTTCTTCTTGTATTCCGGTTGGCAATTTACGTCCTTTCTCGGGTAACTTCCGAATGCGAATGCGAGCGCTCTCACCTTGAAAGGAAGACTGAAGCCTTCCCTGCGAATTCAGTTCTTTGTTGTCTACAGAATCGTAAGCGAAGTATCGCCGAACGTAAGATCGTGTCATGTAATGTGTAAACCATCACAGTTGACAGTTTGACGAGGCTAGTAAAAGAAAAAAAGTACATCGCCTAAATGAGGAATAGAAATTAAGTGTAAGAATTGTGTTTTCTTAATTATCAAGAGTGGCTTGAACATTATGTAGGAAAAAAGACGTACCGAGTGTCTTTCTCTTAAGGAGAAAAAAATCGATGTCTTAAAAATGAGATCCGTTCAAGTTTTGTCGGGCTGTGTCTGTGGGCAATGTTGACAATACGAGAGATTCAAGGGTACCGGCAGCAGTTCTGAAATTCGTTTTACAACAATCAGATGAGGCCGATGAAGCCGGCGAGCAACGCGATGCAATTCCCGTGGTATTATTCTCGCCTACGGTATCCGTACCGATACCTGGGCATGCCGATCAATAACATGCGGCCGTACGCTTCTGACCCTCGGCCTCAGAAGGGCAGGAGACCGACAGGCAGTGGCCGATGGATCAATTCGGGAAATGGGATTCGCGGGAATTAATTTTCAACTTGTGCCGATGATCGCGTTCTCAACAATGCCTCAACAAGTGACTCAGCGAGAACGAAGAACCTCGCCCAAGAGCGAAGAATCGTCAGCAGATCGTGGTGTTTCAAGAAACAACACGAGCTCAACAAAAAGTAGAGAATCCACGAGAGGAATCTCCGACGAGCGAACTGATCGAACTTGATCGCGAATCGGTTCCTCCTGCCTGTCAAGAAGATTGCGAAGGCGCTCGCGACGACAGTATTTCTGTTCTAATTGAAGAAGCTCTGCGGAATGGTGAGTTGTTACGTTCCGACGAATGAATCAGATGGCGGAACGCCACGATGAAACAGGGAGCGCACAAAAGCGAGCAGCATGAGGAAGATAATACGCGAAAGAAATCGACGATCGGGTCGGCTGAGTTCGATCGTGGACCGGGGTCGTCTTTTCGAGGGAATTGCGCGGACGATCCTGGGAGCGACAGCCCGAAGGTCGTCGACGAAACCCTGGGCAACAGCGAGTCGTCGCGTCACGACGAATGGATCGGGAAACAGAATGCCACGAGGAGACGCGAGAAAGAAGTAAAGAAACCGTCTAGGTGTGACGACGTTGTTCAAGGATTACGGGACCCGCGCCCGGGCCCGGGCCCGGTTCCCGTTTGCAGCAACTCGACGTTCTGCATGCACGCGACTCACTACCCGGAGAAGCTGGTGAACCGTGCGATTCAGGGGAACGACAGCCTGAGATTGTTTTCAGAGCGTCGACCCGGTGTCCGAGGTTGGTGACAGGCTGGAGTTCGACAAGCTGAAGGACTCGCTGGCTCTACGTCGTCAACCGGGAAGACAACCTGCGGCAGGGCGTGCGCATCGAGATGTGCGCGAAGGAGGGCAGCGTCTGCGGTGACCTGGACGACTATTTACCGGGCGGTTACAAGGCCTTCTGCAAGCAGAAATAGTACGTCTACCGGGAGCTCGTGGCGGTGGACGGCGGGATCGTGAAGAAAGACAGTTTCAGATTCCCGTCCAGCTGCTGTTGCCACCGAGAGTTCGTCAGCTGACCGATCGAAGGAAGCGCGAATGAGAGACGACGAGTCCGTTCTCTCCCACGTTCTTACGCTCAATTTTACGTCTAATAATTTCCAAAGTGATGTCGACGAGAATTTATTTTTGACATTTAGCGTGTCCGTAGTGTAAAATTTAACGTGATTATTTCGATTGTGAGTTGTCCGACTGCTGAGGGCACCTCCCGTTATCGCGGCACAAGAATATCTTATGCTCACGCTATAGCGTCGTAATCTTCGATAAGAAATGCATAAACAAATCCCTGAATCGTCACAAGATGAAAAATGTCGTTTGAACGAGAGTTTCGAAGCGGGAATGCAATTTCTCGACAGCCTTACGATCATTTCCGTTTTTCTCGCGTCGTTTCACGGTTTTTACTGTACGATGATCGCTAATGACTAGAGTAATCTCTAATTATTCACTTTTCAGCCGAGGTCGATTGGGACGATGACATGCGGTAAATGGGACGTCATAATAAATATAATGATCCTTTAACAGGGGATAAGATCAATCGTTATTAATTTCAACCAATTATTATCGTTCGCTTAGCAGTTATTAAATCTACAAAATGAGATTTGGATTAGATTATCAATTCTGTTCGTCGGCGACTCGTTCCCATTTAACCGGAGATCTCAATCGACCTGTTTAAATCCGTCTCTTGTGATTTGTGTTAAATTTTAGCCCGAGACTTGCGTATATCATTTTACGCATTTTAAACGAAACGATCACAGCGATTTTTTTTTGTTTTCAAGTCGACGAAACGCGACGAGGCGCTTCTGCGTTAGCGAAGAGTTAGTAGCGGCTTGGTCTGCGAGTTTTTGCTCCGAACAACGATCCTTGAATACCGCTGAAAACCAGGCCGGACGAATTCTCGACGAGCGGAAGGGACGAGGTGGAAGATTGCGTTAAAGAATAAATCGCGTTACGTTACCTATCGGCGCCCGGGGCTGGACGGGGGGCACCGTGGAGGAAGCACCACGTGCAACTCGAATGCAAATAACGAAACTTCAACAGGCCGACTCTAAACATCGCGCGGTCACGCGAGCACGTTGTACTTTTATTTCGAATTTAGACACGAATGAGGTCTTGTTGAATACTCGGGCTGCGTGCGATTGAAACACCGTCCAGTCCCGTCACGCTGAATTTATACATACACGATCTGACTTGTAGTGAGATAGAAGAGAGTCGAAGGGAGAAGCATATACAGTGTGAATGAAAGAGAGCGTGAAAGAAAGAGAGAGAGAGAGAGAGAGAGAGGAATGGGAGAGCAATTATCCAGATTGTACCGCCACTTCGTAGCTTAATTTCTTAGATAAGCGTGCCGGACTCTCGCGGGAGCGACGTCTCCGCCGCGAAAGTCGCGTCTCGTTGAGTCGACGCAGAAAA